AAGAATTTAGAGGGCTATGGAGATAGGGCTGGAAAATGGGACTAACTGGGTAGCTCTTTCAGGAGCTGGTACAGACATGGGTTGATTAGCCTCCTTCTGTAAATACTATGATTCTATTTGGAACTGTTTGGGGCGGCATGGTGGCTCAGTGGTTAGCACTGCTGCCTCACAGCACCAGGAACCCGGGTTCAATTCCACCCTCAGGCGACTGTCTGCGTGGAGTTTGCACATTCTCCCTGTGTCTGCGTGGGTTTCCTGTGGGTGCTCCAGTTTCCTCCCGCAGCCCAAAGATGTGCAGGGTAGGTGGATTGGCCATGTTAAATTGTCCATAGTGTTCAGGGTTGTGTAGATTAGGTGGGTTGTAGGGGTATCGGTCTGGGTGGCATGTCTGAGGTTCGGTGTGGACTTGTTGGGCCGAAGGGCCTGACTCCACGCTGTAGGGATTCTATGATTCTATTAAACTATACACTACAAATTTGTTGTCGCAGCTACCCTTTACAACTTGATTGATCAAATAAATAAGATTAAAAAGTCACCCTTAATTATTCCTCTAGTTCTCAACATACTCCGATTATTTGCTGATCTGTACGCTGGCCTACGGTGTGGAAACTGTTTGGGGGTCTGTACACCACTACCAGTGCCTTCTTTACTTTGCTATTTTTACCTCCACACAAAAGGACACTTTGTAATCTGATCCTAGATCTCTCACAATAGTCCTCGGGTCTTCACTGTCCCCCCCATACCTCCCCCTCACTGAGGACGAACGGTCAGTCCTCACTAAAGGGCTCACCTTTATGCCTCTCCACCCAAACATCAAATAATACTGCTCATGCTTGGACGTTGAACAGTTTTTCTGCCGCCTCCGCCTCCGCGCTTACTTCTTTAATTGTGAGCCTAACCCTCCCTCTACTGACCCCTTCTGCCGCCTCCAACACACCCCCTCCTCCTGGACACCACCCCAAGGCCTCCTACCCTCCCTTGACCTCTTCATCTCCAACTGCCGTCGAGACATCAATCGTCTCAACCTCTCCGCCCCTCTCACCACTCCAACCTCTCCTCCACAGAACGTGCAGCCCTCCGCTCCCTCCGCTCCAATCCCAATCTCACCATAAAACCTGCGGACAAGGGAGGCGCGGTTGTAGTATGGCGCACTGACCTCTACATCGCAGAGGCCAGACACCAGCTCTCTGACACCTCCTCCTACCGCCCCCTTGATTATGACCCCACCCCCGACCACCAAAACATCATCTCCCAAACCATCCACAACCTCATCACTTCAGATGACCTCCCACCCACAGCCTCCAACCTCATCGTTCCCCAACCCCGCACTGCCCGTTTCAGTCTCCTTCCCAAAATCCACAAACCTGACTGCCTTGGTCGACCCATTGTGTCTGCCTGCTCCTGCCCCACCGAACTCATCTCCACCTATCTCGACTCCATTTTCCCCCCCTTGGTTCAGGAACTCCCAACCTACATCCGTGACACCACCCATGCGCTCCACCTCCTCCAAAACTTCCAATTCCCTGGTCCCCAACACCTCATCTTTATCATGGACGTCCAGTCCCTATACACTTGCATTGCCCATGCAGATGGCCTAAAGGCCCTCCGCTTCTTCCTGATCCCCAGGCCCGACTAGTCCCCCTCCACTGACACCCTCATCCGCTTAGCTGAACTTGTCCTCACCCTTAACAACTTCTCCTTCAATTCCTCCCACTTCCTACAGACAAAGTGGCTGGCCATGGGTACCCACATGGGCCCAAGCTCTTTGTAGGATATGTGGAACAATCCCTCTTCCGAAGCAACACTGGCCCTGTCCCCCACCTCTTTCTCCGTTACATTGATGACTGTATCAGTGCCGCCTCGTGCTCCCACGAGGACCTCGAACAGTTCATCCACTTCACTAACACCTTCCACCCCAACCTTAAGTTCACCTGGACCATCTCCGATACCTCTCTCTCCTTCCTGGATCTCTCTGTTTCCATCTCTGGCAACCATCTGGAAACCGAAATCCATTTCAAGCCTACCAACTCCCACAGCTACCTAGAATACACCTCCTCTCACCCACCTTCCTGCAAAAATGGCATCCGGTATTCCCAATTCCTTCGCCTCCACCACATCTGCTCCCGAGATGAGGCATTCCACTCCCAGACATCCCAGATGTCCTCGTTTTTCAAGGACCGCAACATACCCTCCACAATGGTTGAAAACGCCCTCGACCGTGTCTCTCGCATTCCCCGCAACTCATTCCTCACACCCCCTTCCTGCAATTACCATCGAAACAGAATCCCCCTCGTCTTCACGTACCACCCCACCAACCTCCGGATCCAATGCATCATCCTCCGGCACTTCCGCCATCTGCAATCTGACCCCACTACCAAGGACATTTTTCCCTCCCCACCCTTATCTGCCTTCTGGAGGGACCACTCTCTCCGTGACTCGCTTGTCCGCTCCACACTCCCCACTAGCCCCACCACCCCTGGCACTTTTCCCTGCAACCGCAGGAAGTGCTACACCTGCCCCTACACCTCCCCCCTCACCCCCATCCCAGGCCCCAAGAAAACCTTCCACATCAAACAGATGTTCACCTGCACATCTGCTAATGTGGTATACTGTATCCGCTGTTCCCGATGTGGCCTCCTCTACATTGGGGAAACCAAGCAGAGGCTTGGGGACCGTTTTGTGGAACACCTACGCTTGGTTCGCGACAAACGACTGCACCTCCGAGTCGCGAACCATTTTAACACCCCCTCCCACTCCTTGGACGACATGTCCATCCTGGGCCTCCTGCAGTGGCACAACGATTCCACCCGAAGGTTGCAGGAACAGCACTTCATATTTCGCTTGGGAACCCTGCAACCCAATGGTATCAATGTGGACTTCACAAGCTTCAAAATCTCCCCTCGCCCGACCGCATCCCAAAACCAGCCAGCTCATCCCCGCCTCCCTAACCTGTCCTTCCTCCCACCTGTCCACTCATCCCACCTCAAGCCCCACCCCCATCTCCTACCTACCAGCCTTATCCAGCCTCCTTGACCTGTCCGTCCTCCCTGGACTGACCTATCCCCTCCCTAACTTCCCACCTACACTCACCTTTACTGGCTCCATCCCCGCCTCTTTGACCTACTGTCTCCTCTCCACCTATCTTCTCCTTTATCCATCTTCTATCCGCCTCCCCATCTCTCCCTATTTATTTCAGAATCCTCTTCCCCTCCCCCATTTCTGAAGAAACGTCAGCTTTCCTGCTCCTCTGATCCTGCTTGGCCTGCTGTATTCATCCAGCTCTACACCTTGTTATCTTAGAATAGTTTGTTGTTTTTGACTGGCTCTGACTCAATGGGATGAAAGGCCTTTTTCTGTGCTATAGATCTCTGTGAGTCTATGACTGAGACTAATCCAGTGATCACTATTCCCACTCCCTGGGCAACATGTCCATTCTGGCCTCCACCAGCGTCACAATAATGCCACCCACAAACTGGAGGAGCAGCACCTCAAATTCCACCTTGGGAACCTACAGCCCGATGGCCTAAACATGGAATTCACCAGTTTTAAAATCTCCCCACCCCCAGTCTCATCCCATATCCAACCCTCCCTCTCATCCCCGCCTCCTTGACCTGACACAACTTGTCCATCTTCTTTCCCACCTATTTGCTCCTCCCACCTCACTGACCAATCCCCACCACTCCCTACATGCACTCACCTATCACCATCCCACCTACCTTCTCCAGCCCCAACCCTCCTCTCTCTATTTATTTCTGAGCTCCCTTTCCCCTCCCAATTTCTGAAGAAGGGTCCTGACCCAAATCGTCAACATTCCTGCTCCTCTGATGCTGCCTGGCCTGCTGTGTTCCTCCAGCTCCACACTTTGTTATCTCTGACTGCAGCAGCTGCAGTTCTTGCTATCGCTACTTTCGATTCCTGATTTTGAACTTCCTCACTGTGTCTGTCAGACCTCCCTTTTCCTCTCAATGTTATTGTTTCCCACATGTACCGAGACTTCAGATTGTTGCCGTTCTCTGTTGTGCACCCTGGCACCTGTGCGGATACACCACCTGAGGGACCATGGCAGAGGTGCAGACTCACCCATCTATTCTTCTAACTGTTCAATTTCCTGCAATCATAACTACATTACTATATTGATGTAACAGTTTGTTGCTGCTTACTTACACATTTACTAACCCTTGGCTCAAATTTAATACATTCCTAAATTCATTAGAGAATGGTTCCAGGGGCTTCAGTGAATTCAGAGAGACTGGAGAAACTGGATTGTTCTCAGATCAGAAAAGATTAAAAGGCAATTGTTTTAGGGACTTCAAAATTATAAACAGTTTTGGCAGGATAATGAGCTAAAACAGTTTCCACGAACACAAGAATGCAGATTTGAGAGCATTGGTAACATAGCCAAAGGTGATAGTGAGTTTTTAAACACAGGGAGTTGACATGATGGGAGCAGACCTAATAATGACATTTCAAGGAAGTAGGATAAAATCATAAAGAGAAAAAAGGCTTTGTGCTGTGAACTGGGGAGAGGGGAGTTGGATACCATCCACAAGTCAACGAGGCATAATAGACAGAATGGCCTCGCTTCAGATTAGTATTATGTCTGTTCTTAGGATTTCCTCAACAAATTCCTTGAGAGTCAGTGCCAGTTCAGGATATTTATCTGTTATATTTTGTTTGTTAATATTTATGGACTATTTTAAGTGCAATATGCTCCATTCCATTGTCTAGTCAAGACCATTCATTTTTGACCTTCGCCAACCCTCCCTGTTTCTATGTCAGGATGTCCATCCTAATCCCAATTGATTTTACTGTTGTGAGGGAGGGTTGTTCAATTGGAGCTTTATCCCAGACAGAGACTTCTTTAAGTGTGCGCTGAAGTCAGTGACAGTTCATCCCCTCCCTGCTGCTGCTGCTGATGTGTGAGAAACTTGCAAAGTTTAATGGTGTTTCTGTGCAGGGAACAGGCCTTAGTGAATTCATGTATCATTTTCTTGTTTCAGATCATCTCCCACCCAAACAATCTGTTTGAGATCATCTCGAAAGAGCCAGTGAAAAGAGAAAGGAACCTACACAACAGAGTGCAGAGTGAGGAGAGAGTGAACAATGAGGGCAGAGTGAGCAGAGAGCTAAAGAAGAGAGGGCAGAGTGAGGAGAGCGTGAATATCGAGCGCAGAGTGAAGAGAAAACGAATAAAGAGGGCAAAGTGAGGAGAGAGAGAGAAAACAAAGGCAGAGTGAAGACAGAGTGAATAATGAAGGGACAGTGAGGAGAAAGTGAATGGCAGGAACAGGGGTTCAAGTGAGGAGAGATTGTTTTATGAAGACAAAGTGAGAAGAGAGTGAATAATAAGGGCAGGGTGAGGATAGCGTGAATAATGAGGGCAGAATGAGGAGAGAGTCAAAAATGAGGGGACAGTGAGAAGAGAGTGAATGGAGGGAATAGGGGGTTGAGTGAGGAGAGTTGGTACAACAAAGCCAAGTGAGGAGAGAGTGAACCGGGCATAGAGCGAGAAGAGTGTGAATAATGGAAACAGTGTAAGGATAGAGTGAATAAAAGGACAGAGTGAGAGAAGTGATTAATGACGGCAGCGTGAGAGGAGAGTGGAGCAAGAGTAAACCAGGAACAGTACAAAGTGAGAGGAAACAAAGAGAAACATTGAGAGGTTAGTGAGAGTAACCAGAATGGCAGTGAACAGTGAGTCAGTAGGGACAAGAGTGAGTGTGTACTAAAGGTAAGTAGGAATAAGCTTGAGGGGGAATGAGGGTGAATAAGACTGAAGGCAGAATGAGGGTTAACATGTGTAGAGTAAAGGAGAGATTGAGTGGGAGGTCAATGGCAGGATGTGGGGCTGGTAGTGAGTCTGAGCATCCATCTGAGTACAAGTTGTCTCTTGTCTGTTACTCTGACACACTATTGATCTTACGTATTGTCTCATTCTAACTGCCTACCTCTCACATGCTGTCTTTAATTCTCAGTGTTGCTTACTGTATAATTCTCAATTGCTCTACCTATCTATCACCTTCTATTACTCTTTTGTTACTCTGCCACTGCCTTTCATTTTTGACTTGCCACTTTCTTTCATACGCTTCAAATCTTATCCTGGTCTCATGATCAGCCATATGTTCAATTGACATTCACTTGCCATTTTCTCTCTCATTTGGCGACTTAGTTGCTTTATTCTCAGTCAACATCATTCTCTCAATCTCAGAAACTCCCTCGCTCTCTACAATTCACTGTCACTCTCTCATTCTCCCTGAAAGATGCTGATTATGAGAATGGTCCTCGAGCTGCTGATGCGAGTGTGCTGCTCATGGCCTTCCAATCAATTGTTGGTGACGATTATAAAGGTAACTATTAATGTCTCACATTAACATCCCATTACACTCATGAAACTTTTGGCAGGTATTGGGTACAGGCAGCTGAGATGGAGAGTAAAGCTTACACTTTAAACTGAAACTAAAGCTCCTCTACATTGTCCGCAACAAACACTCCCAGGACAGGGACAACATGAGGCCAAATATAAAGTGCTAATTATATTTTCTGCCATTATGACTTTCCTAATGTTTTGTTCTTGTTCCTAAAATATCAGACCAAAACCCTGCCCAAACTCCAAACTGAATGAATCAATATTTCACATAATTTCAGGAGTGTGAAGGAATATTTCCCCATGTGCCTGAATGGGTGAAGCTCCAACAACACTCAAGAATCTTGACACCATCCAAGACAAAACAGCCTACTTGATTGGTACCACATCAATATTCACTCTGTCCACCATCAATGCTCAGTAGCAGCAGTCTGTGTTCCATCTACAAGAGTCATAGAGGTCTACAGCATGGAACCAGGCCCTTCAGCCCAACTTGTACATGCCGCCCAGTTTTCATAATTTAAATCAGTCCCTTTTTCCTGCATTTGGTGCATATCCCTTGATACCTATCCCATCCATGTACCTGTCTAAATGTTTCTTAAATTACAAAATTGTACTTGCTTCCGCCATTACCTTTGGCAACCTGTTCAAGACATTCACCATTTTGTGTGAAAAAATTGCCACTCTGGACCCTTTATGTATCTCTCCCCTCTCATCTTAAATCTATGCCCTCTAGTGTTAGACTCCCCTCCCATGGAATAAGCTGTTGGCTATGTACCTTATCTATCTTAAGAATGCATCTCATGATTTTATAGGCCTCTATAAGGTCACCCCTCAGTCTCCAACACTGCTGAGAAAAAAGTCCCAGCCAATTCAACCCTCTCCTTATAACTCAAGCCTTTTTAGTTTAATAGTATCCTTTATATAGTAGGGCGACAAGACCTGCACGTAGTACTCAAAATGTGGCCTCACCAATGTCTTGTACAGCTGCAACCAGATATCCCAACTCCTACACTCAACACTCTGATCAATAAAAGTAAGCATGCCAAAAGCCTTCGTCACTGCACTGTCTGCTGAGGATTCCACTTTCAAGGAGCTATGAACCTGTACCCCTAGATCTCTTTGTTCTATAACACTCTCCAGGGCCCTGATATTGACTGTGTAAGTCCTGGTCTGGTTTGACACACTGAAGTGCAACACCTTGCATTTATCTAAGTTAAATTCCATTTGCCATTCCTCAGTCCACTGGCACAGTTGATCAAGATCTTGTTGCATTCCCAGATAATTTTCTTCACTACCCACTGTACCACCATTCTTGGTGTCATCTACAACTTACTAACCATATCTCCTAAACTTTCTTCCAAATCATTTATATAAATGACGAATAACAGACCCAGCACTGATCCCTGTGGTATACCACTGGTCACAGGCCCCCTGTCTGAAAAACAACCCTCTATCACCATCTTCTGCCTTCTACCATCAAGCCAATTTTGTATCCAATTGGTTATCTCTCCCTGGATTTAACGTTACTTAACAATCTACCATGCGGTATCTTGACAAAGGCCTTGCTAAAGCCCATGTAGACGACGTCAACCGCACTCATCTACTTTCTTGGTCACCCCTTCAAAAAACTCAATCAAACTTGTGAGACACGATTTCCATTGTACAAAGCCATGCTGACTATCCTAGATAAGTCCTTGCCTCTCCAAATGCCTGTAGATCCTGCCTCTCAGAATCTGTTTTAACAACTTACCCACCACAGATGTTAGGCTCACCGCTTTGTAATTCCCAAGTAATTCCCTGCAGCCTTCCTTAAATAACGGCACAACATTAGCGACCTTTTAATCTTTGTGCACTTCACCTGTGGCTGGCGATGATACAAATATCTCCACCGGAGCCCTGCAATTTCCTCCCTACCCTCCCACAAAGTCCTGGTACACACTTCATCAGGTCCCAGGACTTTATATACCTTAATGCGGTTTAAGACTTCCAGCACCTCCTCATCTGTTACGTGGACTCCCTCAAGATATCACTATTTATTTCCCCAAGTTCCCGAGCCACCATACCTTTCTCATAGTAAATTCTGATGGGAAATTTTCATTTAGGATCTCACCCATCTCTTGTGGGTCCACACAGAGATGAATTTGTTGATCTTTAAGAGGCCCTCTTCTTTCCCTGGTTACTCTTTTGCCGTTCATGTACTTTTAGCCATCTCGTGTTTCCTTTTAGCCCTCCTGATTTCTCTCTTAAGTGTACTCTGACACCCTCTATACTCCTCAAGGAATACACTTGATCCCAGCTGCCTATGCATATAATATGCTTCCTTCATTTTTCAAGATCAGGCCCTCAATAACTCAAGTTATCCAGGGTTCCCTACTCCTACCAGCCTTATCCTTCACTCTAACACATCTTAACCCTCATTAACTCACTTTTGAAAGCCTCCCACTTACCAGACATCCCTTTGCCTGAAGACAGCCTCCCACATTCAACTTTAGAAAGTTCCTGTTTAAGACCATCAAAATTGGCCTTGCCCCAGTTTAGAACTTTAACTTGTGGATCAGGCCTATCCTTTTTCTTAGCTATTTTAAAACTAATGGAATTATGGTCACTGGTCCCAAAGTGTTCTCCCACTAATATGTCCATTATTTGCCCTGCCTTATTCCCAAGAGGAGGGCAAGTTTTGCTCTTTCTCTAGCAGGGCCATTTACATACTGCATGAGAAATCCTTCCTGAACACACTGAACAAATCTCTCTCCATCCAAGCCCTTAACACTTGGCAGTCCCAGTCGATGTTAGGAAAGTTAAAATCTTGTAGTATTGGAACCCTATTATTCTGCTATCTATTCTATTATCAGCTATCTCTGATCTCCTCACATATTTGTTCCTCACTTTCCCGCTGTCAAAGTGATCTCCCCCTTTTTATTTCTCAGTTCTGCCCATATAGGCTCAGTGGATGAACCTTCAGTACTGCCATGATGTTCTCCCCAATCAAAAGGCAACTCCCCCTCCTCTCTTGCCTCTCTTTCTATCCTTCCTATATTTACCCCAGAACATTGAGCTGTCAATCTAGTTCACCCCTCAACTATGTTTCTGTAATAATTATAATATCCCTGTCCCATCCACGCCACGAGTTTATTTGCCTGTCAGGCCTTTTTCATTTTAATAAATGCAGTTTAACCTATACTTCCCTTGCTTCCTTCTGTGCTTTTGCCTGCTCTGCCTAGTACTAAGATTACCAACACTGGCTTTACTATTTAACTTGCTCTCATTAACCACTATTCTGTCCTCAATCTTCTCTTTCATCTCCCTATTGCTTTGAATTCCTCACCCCTGCCAGACTAGGTAAACTCTCGCGAGTGGCTCTTGCAAATCTCCTGCCAGTATATTAGCTCCCCTCCAGTTCAGCTGCAACCCGTCCCTCTTGTACAGATCATATCTGCCCCAGAAGAGATCTCAATGATCCAAGAATCTGATTTCCTTCCCCTTGCATCAGCTTTCAAACCACACATTCATCTACCAAATCCTCCTGTTCCTACTCCTGCTAACATGTGGCACCATAAGTAGTCCAGAAATTACTACCCTTGAGGTCCTTCTGCCTAACATCTGATAATCAGTCTTCAGGACCTCATCCCCTTTTTTACCTGTGTCGTTGGTACCAATATGTACAATGACCTCTGGTTGCTTACCCTTCCCTTTAAGGATTTCATGCAACTGTTCAGTGACGCCCTCAACACCATAATGGATTCTCAATTGCAGCTACAGAAATGCCTATCTGTGCCCCTGAATAGTGAGTCCTCTACTACTAACACTGGCTTGGACTTTGCCCGATCATGGTCTACAGCAGAGCCAGTTGTAATGCCATGGGCCTGGCTGCTGCTGTTGTATTCCCTTGAGATGCTAATCCCCTAACATTATCCAAAACCGTACATCTGTTAGAGAGGGGAATAGCCACAGGAGACTCCTGCACTACTTATAAGTTCATTAGAGATAGAAACAGGAGTAGGCCATTCGGCCCATCGAGCCTGTTCCACCATTCAATAAGATCATGGCTGATCTATCTGTGGTCTCAGCTCCTCCCACCTGCATTATCCCCATAAACATTAATCCCCCTTTCATGCAAAAATCTATCCAACTGTGTCTTAAATATATTTAATGAAGCTGCCTCTACCGCTTCCTTGGGCAAAGAATTCCATAGATTCACCACTCTCTGGGAAAAGCAGTTCTCCTCATCTCTGTCCTAAATCTACTCCCCCCAATCTTGAGGCTATGACCCCTTGTCCTTGTCTCTCCCACCAGTGGAAACAACTTGCCTGCCTCTATCGTACCTATACCTTTCATAATTTTATATGTTTCTATAAGATCCTCTCTCATTCCTCTAAATTCTAGTGAATACAGTCCCAGGCAGCTCAACTTCTCCTCATAGGGTAACCTCTTCATCTCTGGAATCAGTTTGGTGAACCTCCTCCGCACCACCTCCAAAGCCAGTATATCCTTCCTCGAGTATGGACACCAGAACTGGGCACAATATTCCAGGTGCGGCCTCACCAGCATCTTGTATAATTGCAGCAGGACTTCCCTGCTCTTAAATTCAATCCCTCTAGCAATGAAAGCCAACATTCCGTTTGCCTTCCTGATTACCTGTTGCACCTGTAAACCAACTTTTAGCGATTCATGTACAAGCACTCCTAAGTCTCTCTGCACAACAGCATGCTGCAATCTTTCACCATTTACATAATAATCTGACCTGGTATTTTTACTTCCAAAGTGGATGACCTCACATTTACCAACATTGTATTCCATCTGCCAGACCCTTGCCTAATCACTCAACCTATCTAAATCTCTCTGCAGACTCTTCACATCCTCTGCACCATTTGCCTTTCAATTTAGTATCATCAGCAAACTTAGACACATTACACTCAGTCTCCTCTTCCAAATCATTTATATATATATACTGAACAGTTGCGGGCCCAACACTAACTCCTATGGAATTCTGCTCACCACTGATCTCCAACCAGAGAAACACCCATTTATCCCAACTGTCTGCCTTCTATTGGTTAACCAGTCCTCTATCCATGCTAATACATTCCCCACAACTCCATGCATTCTTATCTAATGGATGAGTCTTTTATGCGGTATCTTATCGAATGCCTTCTGGAAATTCAAGTACACAACATCCACCTGTTCCCCTCTATCCACTGAGGATATAACAATTGCAAAGAACCCCAGTAATATTGTCAAACATGACTTTCCCTTCCTGGATCTATGCTGTGTCTGCCTGATGGAATCCTTTCCATCCAGATTTCTCGCTATTTTTTCATTAATGATAGCCTCAAGCATTTTGCCAACTACAGACGTTAAGGTAACTAAAAAAGTCATTCAAGGCCTCAGCCATTTCAGCATTATCCAATATTAATTCCCCCTTCTCATCCTCCAAGGGACCTACATCCACTTTAGCCACCCTTTTCCGTTTTATATATTTATAAAAGCTTTACCTATCTGTTTTTATATTCTATGCAAGTTTGCATTCATAATCTATCTTTCCTTTTTTTATTGCTTGCCTCATGGTTCTTTATTGCTTTTTAAAGTGTTCCCAATCTTCCTGTTTCCTACTTCTCTTGGCAACTTTGTAAGCCTGAGCTTTTAACTGGATGTCTTCCTTTATTTCCTTAGTTACACAAGGCTGGCTCTTCCTACCCTTGTTATCCTTGTTTTTGACCAGAATATATTTTATTAAGCACTGAAAAATCTCTTCAAAAGTCTTCCACTCAACTGTTCCACCATACAACTCTTGTTCCCAGTCTAGCTTAGCCAACTCTTTCCTCATCCCATTGTAGTCTCCCTTGTTTAAGCATAAAACCCTGATTTTAGATTATACTAGTTCACCCTCTATTTGTATCTGAAATTCGATCATACTGTGATCATTCTTTCCAAGAGGATCCCTAACTATGAGATCATTAATTTTACCTGTCTCATTACACAGATTGCACGTTCCCTCGTAGGTTCGGTAACATGCTGTTCAAGAAAGTTATCACGGATGATTTCTATGAACACCTCCTCAAGACTGCCTCCACCAGCTTGATTCGCCCAATCAATGTGCAAGTTAAAGTCCCCCATGATTACTGCCGTTCCATTCTTACATGCCTCAGATACTTTTTGATTTATCGCCTGTGCCTCTGTAACATTATTACTGGGTGGCCTATAGACTACTTCCACCAGTGACTTCTTCGTCTTACTATTCCTAATCTCTACCCAGATGGATTCAACATTTTGCTCCTTAGATCCTATATCATCTCTCACTATCGCCCTAATCTCATCCTTAATTAAGAGTGCAACCCCACCTCCCTTACCTTCCTGCCTAACCTTCCGAATTACCTGAAACTCTTGGATATTTAGTTCCCAGTCATCACCACCCTGCAATCATGTTTCTGTAATGGCAAACAAATTATACCCCTTCGTACTGATTTGAACAAGTTCGTCGACTTTGCTTTGAATACTACGGGCATTCAGAAAAAGTGCCTTTATATTCATTGTCACTTTAGAATCTAGGAATCTTCTTGTCTTTAACATTTGATTCTGTCCTCCAATTTTACTTTTTTCTTTTCTAACTTTTGCTCTGGTCTCTGCATGGACTCTCATCCTCCTGCCATTTTAGTCTGTCCTTCCTCACAGTCTCCCTGCTCATTGCATCTACCTTTATACCAACTGCTCCACCTTCTGAATTAACGCACTGGTTCCCATCCCCCTGCCAACCTAGTTTAAAGCCTCCCCAATAGCTCTAGCAAACCTGCCTGCCTCTCCTTGCAGTCACCCATCTACCTGACTGAACCTGAACCACATCACTGTACTTAGAGAATATCATACCCTCTGCCCCCAGTATGCTCCTCAGTGTTTCCAAATGCCTCTCAAATTGAACCACATGGTCTGTGAGGAGCTCCAGCTGATCACACTTCGTGCGGACATAGTCGTCAGGGACACTAGACTGCTCCCTGATCTCCCACATCTGGCAGGAGGGGCATACTACCGCCCTAACTGCTATCTTTTGACCCTTCACAGTGAGACAAAGAACAGAATCTTACCTTAACCTTACCTCGTTGCCGATCGCCCTGCTTTGTATTCACAAGATTCACTGCAGAAATTCACCATGGCTTCTTTGACAGCATCTTCCAAACACACAACCACTTCCATCTAGAAAAACAAGGGCAGCAGACATATGGGAATACCACCAACTGCAAGTTCCCCTCCAAGACACAAACCATCCTAACTTGGAAATGTGTCACCATTCCTTCACTGTCGCTGGGTCAAATTCCTGAAATTTTCCCCCTACTGAATTCTGGCTATTCCTCCCCAAAAGTTGCAATAGTAATTGAATGATAGAGATTTTCAAATTGGAAATACATTTCTATCAACAGGAAAAGAGCTTCCAAAAGCAACTTCTATCGAAGGGTTATACATTTTAATAAAAATTAATAATTTCTGCCAATAGTACTGTTGATAATGCAGTGGTGTACCAAGGTGAGCGTGTTCAGGGGCATCTAGAACAGGAATCAGTGCAAAGAGAAGATAAGGTAAACTTGCCAAGTGAAGAGTGAGGCCCTCCTCTTCGGTTCTCTTCTCCCTCCCCTCCATGGATGTTTTGACTGAATGAATGAGACAGGAATTGCTGTGATTGGTGAGGTTTGCAGAGGACTGTGCTGCAGAAATGATGGGATTGTCACTGAAAATTTGGAGACCAAGAAAAAACACTAAGACTAGGCATGAAGATCAGGAGACTGAAGATCCAACCTTTAGGACCGTCATTCTGAGTCTGGTGAAAATGATCATCGTGAGGGTGTACAGATAGAGGGTGAAGACTTGGAGAAAGCAAATACCTTCAATGACCTAGGTGCAATGATGGCAGAGATGAAAGTGAGGAAATTTAACATGGGATCAGCGATGGTTGGAGAGATTGGTGAAAGTACAGTGCTGTATTCTGTGATTGAAAATTAATGTTGAAACTGAAAGGAAGAGTCTACACAGTTGTGAGAGTGATCTTGTGCAGAAACCTGGGCAACAATGAAAAGAGAGAAGCAATGACTCAATTGAGATGAGATACTGATACTGAGAAGAATGTTTCCAGTAAGGAAAAAGAACAAAATCAGGAAACTGTACATCAGGGGGGTCAGTGAAGATTGTCAGAGTACACAGTTTTGAAGAGATTGAGATAGCCATTGAAATCTCTTGCAGAGAGACTGTGAGACAGAGAGAGATAGAGAGGATGGAAGATGTGGTGAGAGAGTGATGGAGATGGAACTGCCATGAAGAAGGAAACAAGGAGAGGCCACAGTCAGATGGAAAGACGGAGCAGGGTTACACTGTGTGTTTGGAGGAGGAGTAGAGAATTGACAGGTGGAGATAGAGCAGGTATTAACCAGCATTGTGATGACTCCAAATCAAGTGGGAGAAAGAAGAAACTATGAGAAGAGATCCTTCGTTAATAAAGGTTATGTTATAAAGAAAGGGGTGGTAAGTCTGTCGTCAGAAGAAATGTGGGAACTCTTCTAATTCCACCCTGCTTCCCTTTTGAAATTATTCACTGTTTACTGTTGCATTCCCTTTGGAAGCAGTGAATTCCAGATCATTTCTACTTGCTGCGTAAAACAGTAAATCCTCATATCCTGTCCTGTATCACATACCCAGAATATTTTATCGTTATCCTTTACCTCTTGCACTATCAGCTAATTCATTCTGTCTATCTGATCTAAACCTGTCATTACCTCTTACCAAACTCTCCTCAATTTCCTTCACTACAATCCCAGCTTCTCCAACCTCACCCTGGAGCTCATTTCCCTCATCCATGGATCCATTCTGGCAATTCCCTCTGCATTGTCTCCAAGGCCCTCACATTTTTCCTGCAGTATGAAGTAAGAGGTCATGATCTAGATGGGGAATATCGAACAAGGATTGTACAGGAAGCTACCTGAACAGTATGTGTGTATCTTTCTGTGTAATTGCAGATGGGAACAGTTCCAGTATGCTGGAGAGCTGTGGGGATGGCAGCCGCTGCCTCAGGCTGAAGGGGCAGATGAGATTCATGTCAGAGTGGGAATCGATCATCTTCCTGGGAACCCCTGTGTAAGAAATGGAGCAATAAAGGGGAGGTGGTGATCAGCAGTTGCCAAGAGGAGAGGGTGATTGTGACCAGGTGTAGGGTGGGGGAATAAGCGACTGGGGATTGAGGGGGTGAGCAATTGATGGCAGGGCAGCAAGCATGGGAAGGGAACAATGAGTGAGTGACAAGGGTTTCAGGATGGGGGAGCAGGGAGCAGGCAATGGGAGACTGAGTGTGGGAGGTCGGAGGGGTAGTGAGTGGGAGGTTGGAGGGTAGTGAGTGGGGTTTAGGACAGTGGGCAGGAGTTGGGGCAGTGAGTAGGGGTTAGGGTTAGTGAGCAGGAGGTTAGGGGCGGAGAACAAGGGTTGCGTGCAGTGAGCAAGAGGTCAGGGGTCAGCGACAAAAGAACAAAGAATAATACAGCACAGTAACAGGCCCTCCGGCCATCCAAGCCTGCACTGACACATTTTGCCCTTCCATACAAAAACTCTCTTCACTTACAGGATCTGTTTCCCTCTATTCCCTTCCTATTTATGTACATATCCAGGTGAATGCTGCTATTGTGTCTGCTCTGGCAGCACATTCCCAGTACTCACTACCCTTTGTGTGAAAAACTTGTCTCACACACCTCCTTTAAATTTCCCTCCCTGCACCTTGAACATGTGTTCCCTAATGATTGACCCCTCCACCCTAGGAAAAAGCCTCTTACTTTCCATTCTAACCATGTCATTCACAAACTTATAAACTTATATCAGTTTGCCCCTCAACCTCCTGCGTTCCAGTGAAAACATACACTGCCTGACCAATCTTTCTTCTTAGTTAAAATTCCCCATTTCAGGCAACATCCTGGTAAGCCTTTCCTGTACCCTTTCCAAACCATCCACTTCCTTCTGATAGTGCAGTGACCAGAACTATATGCAATATTCAAGTGTGGCCTAACTAAAGTTCTATAAAGCTGCAGCATAACTTGCCTATCCTTGTACTCAATGCCCCTTCCAATGTAGGCAAGCATGCCATATGCCTTTTTTACATCCTTATCTACCTGCACTGCCACCTTCAGTGATCTGTGGATCTTCACACCCAGATCCCTCTGCATATCAATACTCTTAAGTGTTCTGCCATTCACTGTAAAATTGCCACTTGTACTTGACTTTACAAAATTCATCACCTCACATTTGTCCGGACTAAACTCCATCTGCCATTTTTCTGCCCATGTCTCCAACTGATCTATTTCCTGCTGACAATCCTATTAGCAATTCCATCAATCTTTGCATTGTCTGCAAACTTACTTATTCAGCCAGCCATATTTTCCTCCAAATCATTTATGTAGACCATGAACAGCAGAAGTCCCAGCACTGATCCCTGTGGAAAACCACCAGTCGCAACCCTCCATTCTGAAAAGCATCCCTCCACCACTACCTAGCCAGTTCTGTATCTATCTTCCGAGCTCACCCCGATATCATGCCACTTCATTTTTTTGTACTAGTCTGCCATGAAGGACCTTGTCAAAGGCATTACTGAAGTCTATGTAGACAACATCAATGACTTTTCCCTCAATCATCTCTGTCACCTCCTCAAAAAACTCGATCAAGTTAGTCAGGTACAAGGTCTCTCGCATAAAACCATGCTGTCTATCGCTAATAAGTCCATTTGCTTCTAAAATACGTTTAGATCTTGTCCCTGAGATTCTTTTCCAATAATTTCCCTACCACTGACATGAGGCTCACAGGCCTGTAATTTCCTGGATTATCCCTCCTACCCTTCTTAAACGTTAGGACAACATTGGCTATTCGGAAGGTAAGGGGGCAGTGTGCAAGAGGTCAAAGGGCAGTAGGCGTGAGGTCCAGTGCAGTGAGTGAGAAGTCAGGAACAGTAAGAGATAGATCGGGGGCAGTGAGCATGCCACGGAGGGCACTGAGTTGAAGGCAGAAACTTCAGTTGTTATCTAACCATTGAACGTGATCGTGACTCTTTTGTCACTCTGTTACAGAATGGAGAGTCTGGGTGCTATGTTTAAGACAGGATTGTACATCAATGACCTCAGTATGCATGATTCGAGCCGAGACCTGGTTCTTGCTGGCACCCAGCAGTCAGAGGAACTCAAGAGAGCTCTCATCCAGGTCAGAGAGTGGGGACTGGCCTCTTTGTCTCTGAGCATGGAGGGAGCTATGTCAATGGTAGCTGGGACAGGGCTGGCACTGGGGGCACTGGAGGCATGAGGTGCGTGTCAGTGTATTTTGGTGGGTGCAATGGGATATCAGTGGGTGCTGTTGGATATCAGTGGGTGCTGTTGGATAAATGGAGGCTGTGTGGTACTGGTGGGAGCTGGAGGCCATATCAGACTGTGGGCCATGTGGTATTTGTGGCCCTGTGTTACCAGGTGCATGGTACTTGGGGCTGTGTGGTATTGGGAGCCGTACAGTGTTGGAGCTGTGTGGTAGTGGTGGGTGCTGGGGCTGTGTGGTACTGGTGGTACTGTGTGGTACTAGGTGCCGTATGGTGGTAGGCTATGTGGCAGTGGTGGGTGCTGGGGGCTGTGTGATACTGGTGAGTGCTCTGGGCTGTGTGCTACGGGGGGCATGTGGTACTGGGGTCTGTGTAGTACTGGTGGTACTCTGCAGTATTAGGTGCCGTGCGATGTTGGGCTGTTCGGTAGTGCTGGAGGCTGTGCATTACTGATGGTACTGGGTGCCATGCGATGCTGAGGCTGTGTGGTAGTGGTGGGTGCTCGGGGTTGTGTGGTACTGTGGTATTGCGTAGGGGGTTGGTGGTGGTGTTATGTGGTGTAGCATCAAGGTGTTCAGGTTCCTCTCCATGTTCACAGCATCTGTTTTGTTGATTTCATCATTTTAGGAACAGAAAAAGTCAAGCAAACTTGAGGAGAGCATGAAAATGCTGGACTATGAGATGAAGAAGACAGATGATCTCCTGTATCGGATGATTCCGAAACCTGTTGCTAAGAGCCTTCAGAAAGGATTGCCTTCTGTTAACACTTGTGAGGTCAGCGCCTTTGATTAAGCTTCGCAAAAGACACATTCAAATTGTGACTGGGTACACATTCCTTAAACAAATAACCTGCCAATACTGCCTGGGAAACACTGAAACTGCCCAAATACTCCCATACCTTGACACTGCCTGTTTGCCTCAATACTGCCCAGGAATGCTGAGCCTGTCTGGATACCCTGTACCCTGATATTGCCAATGTATCTTGATACTGTATGTGTGTCCTGATACTGCCTATGTACCCCAATATTGACCATGTACCTTGGTACTGCCTGTGTACATTGATACTGCCCTTATACCTTGATACTATCTGTGCACCCCAATACTGCCTATGTATGTCGATAATGCCCAAGTGCCCCTATAGAGTTATAGAGTCACACAACATAGAAGAGGTAATTTGGCCCCATGAATCTGTATTGACCAATTTACCCTAGTCCCAATTTCCTGCACTAGGATGTTATGACATTCCAAGTGCTCATCCACAGGAATGTTGAAACTACCCAGATACAGTCTACCCTGATATTGCCCAGCTGCCCCTGTATCCCATTATAGCAATGCCACTCCTCATAGCTCAATTCTGACTGCTTTTTATTACTACATAGATACTCTGATACTACCTGGGAATCCCAAACTACACAGGTTCTCCCTGAATCCTCATCCTGCCCAGTTACCCTTACTCTGCCTGGGCACCCTACTACCACTTTACCTCCCCATACCCCTGTTCTGCCTGGGTACCTTGATTTTTCCTGGCCCTCTGCACACCCTGATAAGGCCAGGGAATCCAGACTCTGAAAATAGTTGACACCACCTAGACTCCCATACCTCAATATTGCCCACGTACCCAATTCTGCTCAAGTACCACACTACTGGCCATGTACTCTGATAATGCCCAGCTAGCATGGTACTGTCTCCGCACCTCGATGCTGCACATATACCTCAATAATACCCATGTATTTTAATACTGCCCGGTACCTTAATAATGCCTGTATGCCTCGATACTGCCAAGGGTGTCCCTAAAGAGTCATATCGCACAGAAGCGGCCCTCAGACCATCATGTCTGAGCTGACCTACCTACACTAGTCCCAGTTATCTGCACTAGGCTAGGACTTTGAATGTTCTGACAAGTGCTCATTCATGTACCTTTTAAAGATTTTGATGTTCCCTGCTTCAACTACCCTCACAGGCTGTGCATCCAAGGGCCCCACCAACCTCTGAGTGAAAAAGCTTTTCCTCAAATTCCCTTTAAACCTCCTGCATTTGACTTTAAAATTATGCCCCTTGTTACTGATCTTTTGACTGAGGGTAACAGCTGCTTCCTATCCATGCTGCCCAAGCCAATCATAATTTTATACACCTCTATCAGGACTCTCCTCAGCCCTCTCTGCTTCAAAGAAAACAACCCAATCTTATTCAGCTTCTCTTCATAGCTGAAATGCTCCATCCCATCATTATGGTGAATCTCCTGTGCACCCTCTCCAATGCAATCACATCATTCCTATCACCTTACTACAGGAAACTATAGGAAGGACATGCCTGTTTGCCCCTGACTGAGATACTGCCTGGATACCTCTACTGCCTGATACTGCCCAGTACAGTTCAAGTACCCCAATATTGCAAGGACCTCTATACCTGTTCTGAGGAAGGGTCACCGGACCCGAAACGTTAACTCTGTTTTCTCCTTCACAGATGCTGCCAGACCTGCTGAGCTTTTCCAGCAACTTTGTTTTTATACCACAACACTGTCTGGGTGTCCATCTATGATTGTGTTTCAGTGCCTGTACCTATTCTGCCAGATACCCCCATACCATGATAATATTACTGACCAAACTGGCCATGTCCTGAGGGACAACTCTGCCAGGTTTGGCTATGGCAGATAGTGTACAAATAAGCAACTTACAGGAGGAAGAATTTCCACTAACATACCCTTCCTCAATGATGGAAGAGTAGTATGAAAGATAAGGCTGAAGCATTCACAACAATCTTCAGCTAGATACACGGGGTGGATAATTGATTTTGACTTCCTCCATGGGGCTGCAGCATCAAAATACCAATCTTCAGCCATTTCCATTCACTCTATATGATTTCAAGAAACAGCTGGAGGCACTGTCGAGGCTATAGACTCTGACAATATTCTGGCAATAGTACTGAAGACTTGTGCTCCATAACATGCTGCACTCAAACAGACACTGGCATCTACCCAAAAATGTGCTATCAAGCAGCATCTGCTCAGCAATAACCTGCTCACTGAAGTCCAGTTTGGGTTCCGCCAGGGCCACTCAATTCCTGAATTCATTATAGCCTAGGGTAAAACATCGTCAAAAGAGCTAAATTCCAGAGGAGAGGTGAGAGTGACAGCCCTTGATATAAAGGTCCCTTTTGACTGAGTGTGGCATCAAGGAGCTGTTGCAAAAGTCGAATCAGTGGGAATCAGGGGGCAAACTCTTCACTGGTTGTAGTCATATCTGGCACAAAGGAAGATGGTTGTGTTTGTTGAACATCAGTCATCTCAGCTCCAGGATATTCTCCAGGAGTTCTTCAGGGTAGTGTTCTAGGCTCAGCCATCTTCAGTTGCTTCTCAATCATCTTCCCTTCATCATAAGTTTGGAAGTGAGATATTCTCTGTTAAATGCACAATATTCAGCACCATTCACAACTCCTCTGTACATGTCCAAATGCAGCAAGACATGGGTAATATCCAGGCTTAGGCTGAACAGTGGCAAGAAACATTCACAGCACACAAATGTATAGCAATGGCCATCTCCAACATGTAAAAATGTAAGCTTTGCTCCTTGACATTCAAGGGCTTAACCATCAGTGAGTCTCCAATGATCAAGTTGAACAGAAATTCAACCTGACTAGTCACATAAAAACAGTGACTACCTGAAAGAGCAGGTCATATGCTAGGAATACAGCAATGTGTAATTCACCTCCTGACTCCCCAAAGCCTTTCCACCATCTACAAAGCACAAGCCCGGAACGTGATGGAATATCCCCAGTTGCTTGGATGGGTGCAGCTCCAACAACGTTCAACATACCATCCAGGACAAAGAAGCCCACTAGTTTAGAACCACATCCAGAAGCATCCATTCTCTCCACCACTGACGCTCAGTAGCAGCAGTGTGAACCACTTATCCGCATAAATCCACTGAGGCTTCTTAAACAACACCTTCCAAACCCTTGACCTCAACCATCTAGAAGGACAAGAGCCACAGAGAAAGGGGAACACTATCCCCTGCAAATTCCCATTGAAGCCCCTTGCCATCCTGACTTGGAAATATATCACTGTTCCTTCAGAGTCAGTGGGTAAAAATCCTGGAACACTCTCCCTAATAGCACCATGGGTCTGCCTACAATGCATGGAATGCAGCAGTTCAAGAAGGCAGTTCATCCTCATCTTCCTCAGGGAAAGTAGAGTTGGGCAATAAATGTTGACCAGCCAGCGACATCCACATCTCATGAATAAATCAATAATAAAAATAATCTGTTCCAAAGCCCGCACCAGAGGCAACAGAGAGCCTTTGAGAGACGAAGATACAATGGAAGTTAGAGAAATGGTGAACGGAAAGACAGAGAGTGATGTATAGCCGTCTCGAGGTTCCTGTATGTATTGTCTAATTATGATGGTTGACCTTATGCAGGTATTCCCAGATGTCACTATCCTGTTCAGTGATGTGGTTGGTTTTACTCGGATTTGCAGTCATATTACTCCGATGCAAGTGGTTTCTATGCTGAACACGATGTATACACTGTTTGATACCCTGAGTGAGAAGCACAGAGTCTTCAAGGTTGGTGTTAATGATGGGGAACACTACTGAACAATCAATACACTGCAACATCAATTATAGCATGAGACTACTTAGATTCTTCATTCTGCAACAGCACGCTGCCAGTACAATCCAAAGGCAGCTTTCTTTTAAGTTGTTAAGACTGGTCCCTGAGTGAGGTTCTGCAATTCATATGATTATGGACTGGACACCTCTAAATTGTTAGACCTCTCACTTGGTCACAGCAAGGTTAACTTAGCACAAAGCATCCCTCTCTGCATGGTTACCTTTCCTGGTTCCAATGTAATTTACCTTTTTAAAGGAGACAATGTAACTAGGTTGTCTTGCGATAAGGGCAGAGAGAGTTCATCGGTTACTAAAAATGTGAAGAAAAATAATAAATAGATTCATATAGATTAGAAATGAGAAGTGAGGAAACACATAACAGCTTGAATGAAGAAAGAGAAATCAATATTTGACTTGTTTGTGAGGAGTAGAAGGCGAAACGTGTGGTCATTACGTGAGTGATTCCAGGGGTGCTGACCTTGTCAGTTAGAACCATTCATAGATCATAGAATCATACAGTCCCCACAGTTTGGAAGCAGGCAATTTAGTCCATCGAGTCCACACCAACCCTCCGAAGAGCATCCACCCAAAGCCGACCTCCTCCTATGTCCCTATAACCCTGCAATTCCCAAGGCTAATCCACCTAGCCAGTGCCACCTTTGATCTAGAGTCTCTTGGGTTGGCAAGTTGTCCTGTTTTCTTTTTGACAGTGGTTTTTTATGACTTGTGATTTGCTTCCAACAATCAATGAGAGAGAGACTTTGTCTTTCATCTTCAAACATGTAAGTACTTAATGGATATTCTTCACCTGTGACCTTCACAGCACAACCAGCTCCATAGAACTAGAACAATAGACAAGCATTCTGACACCCTGGTGCAGTTGATTTTTAAACCCTTTCTCTTGTGTAGGCTTGGAAGTGGAAAACAAAACCTGTCTTTGTCACAGAGTTGCTTCCTTTTACTTCCCAAGACTGTATATGATGTGTGTAACTCACACAATGTGGTTTCTGCTGAGGTGATAGTTGGCCTCTGCAACCACAGGACATTACACTTCAGTTTTTGCATTGGATCTGTTCCTCTGATGTGCCTTTATCAGGTCCCAACTCAACTTTTTCTGCTCAAAAGAAAACAGCCCAAACTTAGCCAGCCTCCCCTTCATAATTGAAATGCTCCATCCCAGAAAACATCCTGGTAAATCTCTTCTGCATCTCCTCCAGTGCAATCACTTCCTTCCTAGAGTGTGCATACCATAACTGTACACAGTACTCCAGGTGTGTCCTAAAAGTTCTGTACAGCTCTAACATAACCTCCCTACCACAACTAATAAAGGTGAGCATCCTTAATAGCCTATCCTCCCACCTTCTGGGACTTGTGGACAAGCATCCCAAGATCCCTCTGTTCCTCTGAACTTCCTTGTGACCTGCCATTCATTGAGTCATTCTTACAAAGTAGATCACCTCACATCTATCAGGGTTAAATTCCATCTGCCACTGATCTGTCCACCTGACCAAACCATTTTTAATGTTTCTATAAATTAACACCTTCGCCCTCACTGTTAACCATCCAGCTAGTTTTTATATCATCGCAAACTTGGTTATAATCTCTCTGACATTCTGATCTACATCATTTATGAATATCACAAACAATAAGGAACCCAGCACTGGTATCAGTGATATGCCACTGCACACTGGGCTGCAGTCACACAGCCTTCTATTGCAACCGTCTGTCTCCTGCCACCAAGCTAAGTTACGTTGGATCCCATGAGCTTTTATCTTTTTTTATCAGTTTCCCATGTGAGAACTTGTCAAAGACCTTGCTGAAATCCATATAAACTATATCAATTGCCCTACCCTCAACTAAACACTTTGTCACCTCTTCGAAAAATTCCATGAGACTTCTTAATCATGACCTCTTTCTGACAAAACTGTGCTGACTATCCCTGATCAAATGTTGCCTCCCTAAATGGACATTCATTTTCTATTTCATTATTTTCTCCAATAGTTTCTCTATCACTGATGTTAGATTCACTCTAGACCAGAGAGTACTCCCCCAATAACTTTTTTAACTCCTCCCATTGTTCTGCTGTACATTTATTCTGAAGTAGCTGTTCCCAGTCTACTTCCTGCCTTATCTTAATAAAATCTGCCTCACCTTAATCTAAAACACTTTCATAACAAACTTAAAACATATAATGTTGTGATCACGACAACTGAAATGCTCCCCCACTGTCATCTTGAACATCTGTCTGGTTTCATTCCCTAGAATTAGGTCCAGTACTTACTTTCTCAGTGCACCTACACGTTGACAAGAAAACTCTCTTGTATACATTTCAAGAAATCTGCGCCCTCTAAGCCCTTCCTCATAGAATTCCTACAGTGTAGAAGCAGGCCATTCAGCCCATTGTTTCCGCACTGACCTTTCAAACAGCATCCCACCTAGATCCACCTCCCTACCCTATCCCTGTAGCTCTGCATTTCCCATAGCTAATCTACCTCGCCTGCACATCCCTGGACGCTATGAACAATTTAGCATGGCCAGTCTACTTGTGCTGCAAATTTGGACTGTGGGAGGAATTCCACGCAGACATGGTCTTATTATGATTATCTCAATTAACATTGAGGCAGTTGAAATCCCCTAATATAATTACCCTATTCTTAACTTTATATGCCTTAATAAATTGACTACATATCTGCTGACTGTTTGGGGGCCTTGTGACTGCCCCCTTTATATCGCTATGCTCTCATTTGATAACTCTTCCAAGATATCATCCCTTCTTACTGCAGTATATGGAAGAGTACAGGACAGGAACAGTCCCTTAGGCCTACCAAGTCCTTGCCAAACGTAATGCCATTCTAAACTAATCCCATCTGTCTGCACATGGTCCATATCCCTCTAATCCCTGCCTGTTCATGTGTCTGTTTAAATGCCTCTTAAATGTTGCTATCCTATCTGCTCCTCTGAAAGTGCATTTGAGGCACCTGCCACCCTTTGTAAAAATGTGCCTCACATATCTCAGGGTCATAGTCATAGAGCTGAACACCATGGAAACAGACCCTTCAGTCCAAATCATCCTTGCCGACCCAATATCCTAAATTAACCTCGTCCCATTTATTATTTGGTCCATATTCCTCTAAATCCATCCTATTCCTCTAAATCCATCCTATTCATATACCCATCCAGAAGCCTTTTAAATGCTGTAATTGTACTAGCCTCCATCACTTCCTCTGCCAGCTCATTCCATACACACACCACTCCTCTGTGTGAAAAGGTTGCCCCTTAGGTCACTTTTAATTCTTTCCCCTCTCACCTTAAACCTATGCCCTCTAGTTTTGGACTCTGTACCCTGGGGCAAAGACCTTGATTATTCACCCCATCCATGCCTCTCATGATTTTATAAACCTCTATATGGCTCCGACATTCCAGGGAAAATAATCCCAGTCTATTCAGCCTCTCCCTATAGCTCAAACCCTCCAACCCTGGCAACATCCTTGTAAATCTCTTCTGAACCATTCCAGGTTTAACAACATCCTTCCTATAGCATGGAGACCGGAATTGAACGTAGGGGCCTAACCAATGTCCTGTACAGCCGCAACATGACCTCCCAACTCCTATACTCAATACACTGACCAATAAAGGTAAGCATACCATTCCTCACTATCCTATCTAGCTTCAACTCCACTTTCAAGGAACTAATGAACCTGTTGTCAAGGTCTGTTTGTTCAGCAACACTGCCAAGGACCTTACCTGCCCTGATTTACCTTTCCAAACTGCAGCACCTCATATTTATCTAAATTAAACTCCAGCTGCCACTCCTCGGCCCATTGGCCCATCTGATCGAGGTCCTGTTGAACTCTGAGGCAACGTTCTTCACTGTCTACTACACCTCCAATTTTGGTGTCATCTGCAAACTTACTAACCACTATGTTTACATCCAAATCATTTATGCAAATGACAAAAAGCAATGGACATTGCACTGATCCTTGTGACACACCACTGGTCACAGGCCTCCAGTCTGAAAAGCTACCCTCCACCACCACCGCCTATCTTCTACCTTTGCGCCAGTTCTGTAATCAAATATCTAGTTCTCCCTCTGTTCCACATTATCTAACCTCGCTAACCAGTCTACCATGAGGAACCTTGTTGAATGCCTTACTGAAATTCATGTAGATCATGTTCACTGCTCTGCCTTCATCAATCCTCTTCATTACTTCTTCAAAAAACTCAATCAAGTTAGTGAGACATGATTTCCATGGCACAAAGCCATGTTGACTATCCCTAATCAGTCCTTGCCTTTCTAAATCCTGTCCCTCAGGATCCCCTCCAACAACCTACCCACCACTGATGTCAGGCTTACTGGTCTATAGTTCCCTGGCTTTTCCTTACCACCTTTCTTAAACAGTGGTATCATGTTAGCCAACCTCCAGCCTTCTGGCACCTCACCTGTGGCTATCGATGATACAAATATCTTTAAACTTTCCCTCCTCTCTCCTTAAACGTATGCCATCTAATAGTTGACATTTGCAGTGGGAAAAAGACAATTACTGTCCATCGTATCCATGCCTCTCAAAATTTTATACTTCTATCAGATTTTCCCTCAATCTAGAATGCTTTAGCGAAAACAATCCAAGTTTGTCCAATCTCTCCTTATAGCTAATACACTCCAATCCAGGCAAAAACCTGGTAGACCTCTTTTGCACCTCTCCAAAGCCTCTACATCCTTCCTAAAGTGTGGACAACAGTATTGCACATGGTTTAGGAAGGGGCTGTAGTAGATCTTGTATTGGGGAATGAGCCTGGCTAGGTGACCAAATTATAGTGAGGGGCCATTTTGGGAATAGTGGTCATAATTCCTAAGTTTTAAGATAACTATGGATAAGGATAAAACTGGTCCTCGGTGAAAGAGCCAAATTGGGTGAAGGCGAATTACGAGAATATTAGGCCAGAACTGGAGAAAT